TCAGCCAGTTCAGCTCAAATCCCACGTGACTTCAGAATAGGATATGGCATCTTAGGCCAGTTGGACTATTATAGCCTTTCTCTGCTGATCATTATGGGATCAGTAGAAAAGAGATGCTCCCTATAACTGAGGTCCAACAGTCCTTAGTATCTTCAGTGACCATAAGGAAGAATTATCAAGGGAAAAGAAACATCCTTGGCTACAAAACAGTCACAGTAACTAATCATTGAACTCTATAGTAGTCTACATGCTGAGTTTCTGTCCATAAAACAAAAACTGAAGAAGAAAATACTTTGACTCATAGTGCCTGGTTTAGAATAGTATAGAATATAGAACTAAAAATACTTATTTCTGCCCCTATATCATTTGTTAAATGACAGGTTAGATGAATGGAAGATTGCTGAAGTCTTTTCTAGCTCTAATGTATAAGATCATGGGAAGGAAGAGGTCTGCAGATCAGGAGAATTCACCCACTGATGGGGTTTTAATTCTGATTTACAGAGTGACTGTCAGCTGATGTTGCCCTAGATTAAACGTAATAAAAAGGATCTTCAGCAATCTTAGCATTGATACTTTGGTATACCTATAACAGCCTCTCCTCCCTGTAATGCTCTTTCTCCCTCTGTGTACACTTCTGGTCTTGTCTGTCTGTCTTTTTATCTCTCTGCCACAGAAATACATACACAATCAGAAATGTGTGCAAACCAGTGAGGGAGAGAAACACACTAGGATGGGCTAGGCCCAAGGTCTGCCCTGTCCTATAATAGATTTCAACTGCAAAGCAGAGGGCACTGCTTAAACAGTGCCCCCTTGAAAACAGTTGTAGGGTGAGGACTAGCAACCAAGAGCAGCCAGTGATAAAATGATCTGAGTTGACCTAAGAAGAGTACCCAGCAGGGGCTGATTCAGGGAAATGAAGTCTCTTCTGCTCTGACGCAGAGGAAGGAATATGAGTGACCTAGCCCAACTGAGAGATCTCTTCCACTCCAACAGATCCTGTACTATTAATATCTGCCAGCTGCAGGCCCAGAGCATCCTCCTGCTGAGATCAAAAGCGCCCCTATCTTAACTGGAACAAGGTCATCTGCACAGGGCTGTAAATGAGAGCGCTGGCTGGCTGCAGGGATGTCTATGGGGGAGGAGAAGTCAGGAGATGGGAGGTGCTCTCTCACGCTCCTTTAATCTCGGCTGACCAGCTGTTGCCCTCCCAGTGTTTGTAAAGTTGAGAGTTCTTTGTTTTTCTGTTGCAGCTCCCTACCGCCCCCCCTTATTAAATTTGTGGCTGGGTTGTTGCTTGGATTAAGTAGACCCATGTTCACTGCTTGAGATAACGTTATAATTCCCTTCATTGAGGTTTCATTCCACTATTGAGTTATATAGCTCCCAGGTAGGAAAGCCAAAGAAGGGAGAAGTGGACCCCAAAGGCCAAAGACTTTCCCAGCATTGCTACTGCTTCAGACCTTTGTGCCTTAAATTTTCCCTATTTAGTTAAAATAATACCTCACACGGGCAATGCCAATTTGCAGCCTGCCCTTCACAAACTATCCCATTCATTTGGGAGAATGGAACTTTTAGGACTTATGCAAATTGACCAAAGTTACAAAATCACCCTCATCCCAGTGTGCCCAGTGTGTTTGCACCCTCACTGGTTTGTACACATTTCTTTTTCCTTTTTGGAGACAGTATCTCTCTGTTGCCCCGGGTAGAGTACATTGGCCTCATCGTAGTTCACTGCAACCTCAAACTCCTGGCTCAAGCAATCCCCTTGCCTCAGCCTCCCAAGTATCTGGAACTACAGGCACTCGCCATGATGCCTCACTAATTTTTCTATTTTTATTAGAGACAGGGTCTCACTCTTTCTCATGCTAGTCTTGAACTCCTGAGCTCAAGTGATCCTTCTGCCTCAGCCTTCCAGAGTGCTAGGATTACAGGTGTGAGTCACCCTGCCCAGCCTGCACACATTTCTATAACAGATATACCAAAGTACCGGTGCTAAGATTTCTGAAGATCCTTTTTATTAAGTTTAATCTTAGGGCAACATCAGTTCACGGTCATTCTTCCCACTCTGTAAGTCAGAATTAAAACCCCACGAATGGTAAATGTTCCAGATCTTCAGACCCCACCCGCCCAACCATGATCTTATATGTTAGAGCTAGAAAAGACTTGAGAAATCTTCTATTTATTCAACCTGTCATTTAACAGAAGAAGAAACTGAGGCCTAAAGTGATCAAAAGACCTGACAAAGATCACAGTTAATAACTCAATGGCAAAGCTGATACAACGAATGCTTAAAGCAACAAAGCGACACATGTATATATGATAAATATATGTGTATGTGTGTGTATATATATATATATATATATATATATATATATATAAATCATAGGAACTTAACAACCACTGCAATGTATTTGAATAGCTATAAATGTTCTAAGAAATTTTTCCATTTTAATTTACTGGTAAGAAGCTTCATTATAGACTTTAGGAAAAAGATTTCTACAGCCTTTTTACCTGCTCAGCTATATATAAGAAAAAGATCTAGAAAAACCAATTATTTCCATTCTCCTTTGGATTTCATAATAAGGTAAAGTTGTCTAAAGATAAGCTGGTAACTCTCCCTTTGCTATGAACACAACTTTACCATTTTCTTATAGCAGTTACACTAGAGCCCCAAAGCAATTTCTTTTGTATGTGTTTTATTCCTCATCTTTGCTTAAGATAAACCAGGAAGCCAAGGCAAAGAAAAGTATTATTACTTATTGGTTTTCAAACAAGGAAGCAAGATACCCTCTTCTGTCTCCGCAGAGCTAAGTAAGTGTGTGTTTTTGTGTATATGTGTGTATGCAATAATTTTTTATTTCAAAATATTAAGGAGGTACAAATATTTTAGGATCATTATATGGATCATTTTTGTAGTGCTTGAGTCCTGGCTATAGGTGTGCCCATTACCCAAATAATGTTCATAGTACCCACTAGGCTGGTTTATTCCCCTTCTCCCACCCCATGTGTGTAATAAGCATAACAAGTTTTAATGATGTTCATGGGTGCTTTATGTGATTCTCACGATTACTGTTCTTCTGAAGTATTTACTATGATATTCATTCAGCACTTATTCACTGCCCACTATGTGCCTAGAACTCTACTAGTCACTGGGGCACAACACGGATATAACAAGAATATGATATAGTCTGTATCCTTAAAAATCTGCCAATTTAGTCAGAAAAACATGAAAGGTTAAATTATTTTTTCTAGACTTTTTCTTTATATAACTGAGCAGGCAGAAAGGACTCAAAGGAGAAAGAGAGACTCAGACAAGGAAGTTTCGTGGAAGAGGTAGTCCTTAAATAACCATTGAAGGAGTGGATTTGGGAAGAGAAGAAGCAGTAGAAGTGAAAAAGAAAAAAACTATTCTAGATAGGGTGAGCTGTTTCTGCAGAGGCATGGAGCCAGGAATAGGCAGGGACAGGCAAAAGATAGGCACACTTGGTATGGGAGCATCACATAAGGTATTGGTAGGAACCAAGGTTGAATAGGAAAGAAAGAACAGACTATGAAGGGTTAAGAAGCATTAACTCTATCTAGTGGTGTTCTGGAAACTGGTCTACCCCCCCCCAAAATCTGATTTTTAGCATTTGCTAATTTCCATGGTGTAAATACTTTCACCCTGGCTGATTGCAAGCTAACAAATCCCTGTATATTTTTAAATCAGCTTACTGATGTTAGACCATTCTCAGAAAAAACAATTCCAAGATTTCTGAGTAGGAGAGTGACACAGTAGAAAGAAGTTGGGCTCAGGAAGTATAATTTAGCAACGTCAGAATGGAAATGACAGAGGCTAGAGCTGGGAAGGCCATTCTGGATTTTATTAAAATAATCCAATGGGGAGTTAATAAGTCAGCTGATCACAACACAAATGACAAAAAAGAGGGACAGAGGAAAGATGTACGAGGAAAGATGTACGAGGAAAGATGTACGAGGAAAGATGTACGCAGAAAGAACTAAACAGACTTGATGACGAATGAAATTTGAGGAGGGAGGAATTCTAGATGATTCCAGTTTTTAGCCCAGATGACGGGGGATGATAACGCATCACTGAATGTAGAAAGAGGGTACACAAAGCATTTTAATAAATGTCATTCATTTTTACACTGAAAGACACCACCAAGAAGCAGAGTGTGGTTCTTGCAGTTTCTGAGGCCAAAAACCAGGGCTGATCCATAGAAGACCACCTGGGAAGTCAGTCAGGAGCTGTGCTAAGCTTAAAAGTCCCCTATATTCCATCATGAACAATTCTTAGAAAGTGGAAAGGGAAGAGAGGCCTGGAAGAGCTATGTACATCTACCCAGGCCCCTAGCATTCTGCCTGAAAGCAATTAGACTACAATGAGAAGTCAGAAATGTCAAGTAAGAACTTTCAATAAAACTAGAAACCAAGCTCTGGCTTGCTGGTGTAATTCCCCCAGCTGCATGAAGCTTATTGCCATCAAAACCATAGCCAGCCTGACCTTTGCTAACAGGGGATGGTGGAGAAAATTTTGCAGATTTACCAATGTAGAGATTTTTTTCTTAATCTTTCTGTAAAGCTGATAAGGAATCTCCAACACATGAAACTGGGGTACACTTTTAGCCAGTTCCACAGAACTCAGCACAAATAAAGAGCTAAATTGATATGGAACCACTGGTAAAGCCAACCTTTGCGCATCAGTCTCAAAAACAAAGTCATTTAGCAGTTCACCAGCCCTTGTATTAAGGACCTGAAACAACCCACAGAGGAGTGACAAGCCTTCAGATGGAGCTCATTTACAGAGACAGGGCAAGAGACTCTCCAAGTAGAAGAGATCAGATGCTGGTAAAGGCGGCCAAGCCTAAATCACCAGGCTCCAGCTGGGTTCACTGGCCAGGGCCTATTAGCCATGTCTCCCAGCTCTCAACAGGAGGCAGAGAGGCAGTGGAGCTGTATGTCAGTGTCAAGTTTCAGCCTCTCTAGGATAGATCTCTTACCTTCAGACAGGGACAAATCATCAGCTGGAGACACCAGGTCTGCCTGAGAAGCCAGGGCTCCACTCAGATGGGTTGTAATTTGATTCGTCAAGATAACCTGTGAACAGACAGGGCGAAGAGAGCGGGAGGGGAGAAGAAAAAGAGAGAAGACCAAATTAATTATTAGAGCCATCAAAAGGCAGACTGTGGTTTGGGAGAAGACTGATAAATACATAGGTAGGAAAATCCAAGCTCTGACTTTCACCAACTTTATCTTTAGGCCAGAATATCTGGCAAGGCCTATCAGTCATTCAAAACCCGGAAAACCGAGGAAACAGGCTGACTTTTTTCAGAGCTAAAACGGTAATCAATTCTTTCTAAATGCTGAGTAAATTGGGACTGAGAGGTGTTACCATATTAGCTAAAGAAGGCTAACCACAATTAAGATGCACACGTACACAATTTATCAGATTTTAATTTTAAAATTATATCCACAACCTAAGATATTGCTGGTGAATAAATGTAATAACTTAAAGTTTGGATATCTATGGCTTCTTTACTTATTAACTCAAAAGTCAGAGTTTTATTTACAAATGTATAAAACAGGAATAAGATTCATCTCTAAAGAAATAACATTCTTCTTTTACATTAGTTAAATTCTAACAAAAGTCCAAAGTTTCACTAAGAATTTAAAGCACAAATTAACATAATCCTACCTATACAAAATAAGGTTCATAACATTTTAAATTTCTGGAAAGGCCTCTAAAACTACCTAATTTACATGGTCCACTGACACACAATATTTTCACATTTAGTACAGTTAAGAAATTATTCTTTTCTGAAATAATTCTCATTCATAAAATCCACCTTATTGTTTAGAAACCTACAGGAAGAATAAGATTAACTTCTTGAAAATTATAACATGGTTAACACCACAATCATTTTCCGAGGTTTGGGTGTTCCCATCGTGGGTAGAAACTGTGAGCATCTTGGGTACTCAGAGGAAACGTCCCTTCTGAAAAGGGCACAGGCACTTAGTACACAATTCAGTGCTTGAAATATTCATCTAGCCAGACTATGTGGTCTGAACCAAGAGCCAACTATGGTTTCGTTGCCACCCTGATTTGAACAGAAAATGGAAATCATCTCCATTTTTTATTATCCAGCTTTTCAGCCACACCTCTGCCACTGTCTCTTAAATGGACCAGTGACACATTATAAATCCTGTACCAATGGCAGCTTAATTGAAGGCTGAGAGGGGAGAAGGATGGCAAGGTCAGGTAAAAAAATGAAGTACTCTATTAGCAAAGACAATCTTTTAAGTTCTTTGTGTGTCCACTGGGCTCGTGAGTCTCCGGTTACTCTGCAGTGATGATCGGATATTGCAGGATTCCACTCAGTATTTGCTAATCTTATCCCTCATATTCTTTTGTATTGCTACTTTTCATCTGGACTGATAAGAATCAAATAAGATATGTCTCCAACTAAAATGGCTTGAAATGGTCAAGTAGCCTGCTCTTTTAAGAAACTATTCATATACAAGAGTATGAATAAGGACTTGTGTTGGTTTCTCTCCTTTTAATAGGGTAGCTTTGGAGTTCACATAAGACTGGGTTCACATTGTGACTTTGACACTGTGTACCTTTGGGCTTCATTCATTCATAAGTAAAATAACATCTATCTTTTTAGAATTGTTATGAGAATTAAATGTGGTAATCAATGTAAGGTATTTAACATAGTGCCTGGCACATAGTAAATATTCAATAAATGGAAGTCATTGTTATTATTGTTATTATTATGATGACATATATATATCTTAATAAATTAGTATATGTCACATGCTTTTACTTATTATTAGAACCAGATAATGGGTTCTAATAATAGAATACTAAATCACTATTTTCTACATCAGGATATACTTTGGTACTTAATCATTTCCACCAATTTTAGTCCTTCCAAGTTTAATTGCAAAGAATTTGTATAAAAATCTTAGTAAGAAAAGGTTAGTCATTATTTAAAGCAAGGCCAGTAAGATACTGATATTGCCTCTGAAAATACTACATGCTTTGTCTAGCAATGAACAAAATAATAATCTCTGTCCTAGTAAAAAATAATTATGAAACTTCTTAATGATCTAAATATGTTAGCTCTAATTTTTTTTATTAGAGCTGTGATACTTCTAAATGATTGCCTGGTGAAAATGACCAGAACTCCAATGATATAGTAAGAGCAACAACAACAACAACAAAATTACTGAACACCTACCATGCAAAGTATGTCACCATACACATGGGGGAAATCAAGAGGTAAAGGCACTGTATGTCTTCTCTAGAAACTTATTAAATTAAATAAGGCATTGAATAAAATATTTAGACCACTTTTTCTCAATTTTATTATTATTTCACTGGTCCTATAATGAAAACTTATACTGAGATGATGATTTTATTGTACAGAACTAATGAAATGATACCCTGCAGAACCTAAAACCAAACCACAGATGTACTTCAAAAGATACCCACACTCGTTTCCACTTATGATGAAAGAGTAGATGCGGAAGAAAACATTTTCACTCCCCAATGGCAAATGAACAAGCTCCTAACTAGTTTTGCCAATAATCTTCTCCCTTTTTGGTATAAGTCTTAACGCCAAATCACTGACGGGATACATAGCAACCAAGCTTAGGGGATTGCTAATTATGCCATCTTACTGAATTATTGTGGTTTTCTAAATTTGTGTTCAGCAAAATGATAGAATGAAAATATTTTCAAAAGCATTGATTACAAATAATCATGACTTGGGCAGAAGCTTATAGATGTGTTTTCCTCTGAGGCAACCAGGACACTTGAAAACTACACTCATAAAACAACTTATAAAATACAAGTTATGAAAAGAGTCTTAATACTACCTGGTTTCCAAAAATGAATCATGACAGACACTTCAGAGGGGCTTTCCTGCTGCTTTGCTCTATTGGGAAGACTGAAGCTTCTGATGCTGGGTACTGAATTTGTGTAAGAGCAACTTATACAGTGGGAAGGACAAAGGCTTTGGAATCAGACCTGAGTTCAGATCTTGGGCTCTACCATTTATTAGCTGTGTGACATTGGGCAAATTTCATAACTTCTCTGGGTATGATAATACTTACTTACAGGGTTTTGAGGATTAAACTGGATAATGAGTATAAAATCCTTAGCACAGTATCCGGCCTACGGTAAATGTTACTCGCATCATGATTGTTAGTGATCCTTTGCTGATTTGTACCTTGCTTATTTACATAGAAAATGCATGCCTGACTTCCTTTTGTGTAGCACATAGCCCACTGGAGACAAAGAACGAATACTTGCTGTTTATATGTTCAAAAGCAATAAAATTTTAACTGAAAGTACATCTGCTATTTTTGCCATTTCCCTAAAAGTATACCTTACTGAAAACATACAACATACCATCACTACCTCCAACTACAATCCAAAGACCAGAATGGGACTCTTGGACAAAAGGAAAGATACATATTTTTAATGGCATGGTTACATCTGAAGCCAGGAGTAGAATCCGGCTTAAAGTTTACTTTTCAGGAAGAATACCATTCACCCACTGGGGGGAATAAGAAGCCCTATAAATTGTATAAAATAACTACTATCTCCACTCAACTTTATATATGGAGAGACCACTTACTCTCAAGTCTTCTTTGCATTGCCTTCTTGGCTATAGGATGCTTAAAGAGATACACTGGAATACAAAAGGGTCCTTATATAATGTCACATAGACATTGAATCCAATTTTTAATACTTCTCCTCAAGACAAAATGGGGGGATTTCTCCCTTCAAAAACCATGCCCCAGAATTCCTAGCTTTCCCTTGCATTATCTAGCTTCTCTAAACACATCCTATTCAACCCTTCTGTGTACTGTGGTCCAATACCTACGCTCAGCTTAAGGCAACAATTAAGATCTCTAAAAAAGAAGGAAATTCAGTGTATGGATTCCTAAGCATAGGTCCTGCTTTCACAGAGAACAGGACTTTTAAGTTGGAGAAAAGAGAAGGAGAGACAGGAAACAGTTAAAAATGAGATGAACTGGTAAAGCAGATGGCTAGAAAATCAATGTGGTTTTGGTCAGAAGGCAGAGAATCCTGGGCATGAAAATCAACACACATACAAACAAAAATATAGGACTAATTTCCACTAAGTATTAAAAAAATAGTGTAAGACAGCCAATACCTTGAGATAATAGAGTAGAAAGAGAATGAGCTGGTCATTAGCCCTAAGGGTTAGGAGACTGGACAAATTGAGCCTGACTCTCTGCAAATCTACATGTTCAGTGCAGACCATCTACCTTCACCTGACCCATCTTTCTTCAGCTATGCTATGACTAGACTACACCTCACTACACCACACCCTACTCAAGCTTGCTGCTCCTGGCCCAGAATACATTCTGCCTTAAGGGGCGACTATATATATCTATGTCTAGTCTGTTTACCCTACACGGCAGGATTAGAAGTACCTTTGTAGGGGCCTCTGTAAGTAGTCATTTTGTACACTGGGGCCTTCCATGGGTATGTAATATAGTGCAAAGAGAGAAAATGTGACAGCCCTGGAGAAATTAGAACAGAGAATTGCCAGGCCTGAGGGGGTTTGTGGTCAACCAGGGATACAATAGTTTAGAATGTGATATCTGGGTGTGTTTGGTCACCAGAAGAGATATTCATGATCAGTAAAATAATAACTCTAAAAGTCAGATTTTTTAAAGACCCAAAAATATGACAAATGCCATCATTTAGCTTTCTGTAGGGGCAAGTGAGAGGCAAATTTTGTAAGCCCTACCTTCCACCAAGAGAACTAGAGTCACCTGCTTGAGATCACTAGTACAGATGAGAAGAGAGGCATGCAGGCCTCCCTGCCTACTCTCCTTGCTAAGGGAACAAGGGGCAGAGTAGAGGACAGAGCAACTATCATTAAGGCCTGGACTTTTCCAGGCCTTAATGTCCTTGTCTAGAGAATTCAATCTATAAAAGTAATGAACAAAGGGAACTAGTGTCTGGAAATACACTGAAAAATGGTCAAAATGCTACGTTGTAACAAACCCAGTCTTGTGACAAGAGACCTTCCACCAAGTAAACTAGAGTC